GTAGATGGGGTAGAGAGAGAAGAGGGGAGGGGAGGGGGGATAGTAGAGGTTAGGAAAGGCAGCAGACAACAGACACTAGTATGGCAATATGTAAATCAATGGATGTGTAACTGATGTGATTCTGCAATCTGTATAGGGGGTAAAAATGGGAGTTCATAACCCACTTGAATCAAAGTGTGAAATATGATATATCAAGAACTATGTAATGTTTTGAACAACCAACAATAAAAAAATTTAAAAAAAAAGAAAAGTCTAAATTTTGTCCCTTTTTGCTCTTTCTGCTAACTAAACCCCATATCATCTTAAACTTCTGGCATTTGGGCTTAAGAACTTTCATGTTTTCCTTGTACTTATCTAGAGCAGGTTATATGGGTTCACACATTTTCTATATGGTGAAGATTTGGGAATTGATTCTCAAACCCACATTTAAAGACTGGTAACTGAACCTATCTAGGAGGCAAAGTCATTTCCTCACGAGTATAACCAATACAATGAACATTTCACCCCCTTTTATTACTCAGTTAACATTTTCCAAAGAAATAATTAAATCTTTGATGTCCTGCATATCAGTTTTTTTTTAAACAATCCATTTCTGCTTAAGTAAGAGATGCTGCTTTTTACCCAATTTGCTTTTTCTTACACTTTGTGTTCATCTGTCCTAATTCTCCATCACACCCTTACCTCATCTCTATTTACCACTCCAAATAGATATTTTGCTTATATAAGTAAATATACATATATGTAAATATACATATATCTGCACACACCTTTTTATATAAACACACACGCACATACACACACACATACACACACACACACACACCTTAGGAATGACTACATATTTCACACAGGATAAGCTCCAGCCTTATTCTATTATTTATTTATTTATCCACATTGAGGATTAAACCTAAGGTCTTACAGATGCTGGACAAGTGCTCAACTATGGATAAATCACCAGTCCCTTCAAATTTTTTTAGGATAGGGTTTCACTAAGTTGCCTAGGCTGCCCTAGAACTTGGGGTCCTTATGCTTTTGCCTCTTGTGTAGGTGAGCTTACAGGTATGATCACCATGCCCAACTCCAGCTTTATTTTTAAAAAATGAGATTACAAAAAAGAATTATGGCTTACCTACATAAAGCTATTTTTTTCTTCCAGAAGTTGGGCCAGAATAAAATATATTCAATTTTCTCTTAAACAGGTCTTTTTTATGTTATTATTTTTTAAAAAATTAGGTCTTGAAATATTTACTTCTACATGATTTCAAATAATGGTTTGAGTAGCTCAGGCTACAGATTTTCTAGAAGAAATGTGACCAAAAAATTAGATAAAATAATTAACCATTTCAACATAATTATGTAAAGTTATGAAAATGAATAAACACTAGGTTCACTCTAAAGAAGTTGACATAATATCCAATGCAGTTTATATTACAAATAAGTAGAAAATAATTTAAAAGTGTTAGGAAATCTTGGATCATTTGTTTTTCTTCAAAAAGGTTTTTGTGCAAAAGGATATAATTTAAATTTAGGTACTTAAAGATTAAAATTTATTATTTTCAAAAAGCTAACAAAAACATTTGGTTGATGATTATTTTATGTCTAATAAAGTAAGACTCAAAATATATAAAGTAATACATCACAAAAGATATGTTTTTAAAAATAAATTAAATAAAAGTTATTTCCTCCTACAAGACAAATCTGGACAACATTATCATCATAATCAGTGTGCCTAATTTTCCATTTATTTTTTAATTTTGCCAGCCAAGTCACTCTGTTAAATATTAAGGTTGGTGCGTCTTGAAAAAGAGTAGAGATGAGATGTTCCAAATGACTGTGATGATCAAAAGAATGAAGTGTATCTCCACACATAAGTGAGCACACATACCCCCACTGCCCCCCCCCCCACTCTTGAAAGTTGAAACATAATACAACAAATTTTCCAACTTGGTATGGTTTACTGTGTGTCAAATATTTCCTCACTAATGTTGCCACTACAATAGATCATTCTCAAATGCCATAAATATAGTATAGTTCAGTTGAATTCTGGATTAGTAATTCCAAGATTGATAATTAAGGCAATTTGGAGTTAATCCTTCACCCTACTAAATCAGTTCATTTTTTAATTATTTATTTACTGTATTCAATACAGCTTTTGAAGTGTACTTGAGACATGTCTGTGGCTTAATAGTTGAGTTGTCATAACTTACATACCAAGCTTAATTTTATTAGAAATTCTTTAGACATTCTCATGAGAAATTCCATTTCTCTTCACTAAAAATGTCAAGTAGCCCCTTGATTATCAGAATTGACCAAGCCTGTCCTTCTTTTCTTTTTTTTTTCCTCATTCAAAATTGAGAGAATACAAAGGTCATCTTGGCAGTTGTCTAGCAAAAGCAATCCCTGTCAATCTCCTTCAAAACTAAATAAAATTCACAGAGACTACTTAGGTAAACAGGTTGCCAATTAAGCATTTCTAGTTTGAGTCAGTACTGTTGATCTGCATTGAATAATTAAATTTTAGGGTGCTAGCTTAGTGCTTTAAGAATTTTACAATAATATTTTGCAAACCATTTTCTTCTTGAATCCCTTTTTAATGCAAACTCCCTATAAAATCATAATGCTCTGAATTAATTATACATATCATTAATTGCAACTTATGAAAGTATATTGATTTATTTAGTGATTAAAATTTAAATTTAATAAGATACATAATACAATATATAAGTTTAAAACTTTTTTGCTTAAATTTTATATCACATAGGCAAGTGTAATAAAAAATAATAGAATTTTAATCTAATTTAACTTTCTTTTTAATATGTGTGATCCTATAATATTCTTTTATATCCACATAGAAATTATTTTAAAAGAAATAATTGGATATATAAACTCCTGCTGATAAAGAAAAATTCTGAGATGAAATTAAAATATTCTGAGATTAATTCTTAAGTCAATTACAAGGGTTGGAGGATGAAAGAAGCAAGATAATGGAAGTTCATCAGTAATAGCTCTGAATGAAATTAATAAGAGTTCCACATCTCTGAATGAATGCTGAGACCTTGATTCCAGCCCCTGGTGACTTAACACTGGACCCCACTCTATCCTGCTATTACAGAAGAACTTCAGACTATCAACCCCAAATAATTTTTAAGGAATAGGTACTCCTTACTGACTGTCCTTCCAACACCTCTTCTCTGTGTTATCCTATGCCTTTTATCCACAGCCAGAGAAGGTTCAATTTATGGTTTCCTTTCACAAGTTTTCTTCACGAAAATGCCTTTAACTCTTAGGTCCAATGAACAGTTTTACAACTGCTACAGCCTTTACAGTCATTTTCTAGGGGTGGTGAAATTTGCCCCAGGACAGGGTCCTATTCTGTTAGCATTTGGAATGGCTCAATTAACCCTTTATCTTAGAGAAATCTCAGTTTAACACTCCCTTTTTAGTGAGTTAAAGTATACATATTAGTTAATAATTTTATTTAAAGATTTTTCATAATTTAACTAGTTTAAGGAAGTATGACAATTAACGAGTCCATCTATCCTTAGAATCCAGAGAATAGCCCAACCCTAAAAGGGCGATGCCACAAAATTTTTTCTATAGACTTATTTTAATATTTTGCATATAGAACACTATTTTTTCAGCAACTTTTTTTTGAGAATAATACTGAACCAGGCCTTTCCCTTCATTTTGATAGGTGTTCACAAGCAATAGCAACTCTTCTCTAAGCTCATGTATGATAATAGTATATGTACATCTGCTTTCCTGTCTTTACTAAGATGTAATCAAATATTGTACTACTCATGGAAGTGAAACAACAAGTTGTATATTAAAGTATTTTATTTTATACTTTTATGAAAGAGAGTACATTTTTAAGAAATATTATGATGGCACAAGTAACATTTGGCCAGATGTGGTAGGGTTTGGTACCATTTATACTCTTCATGAGTTGATTTAAAAAATATCTTATGTTGTCTATCAACTGACTGTTGAAATTTTGTTAAAGAGACTAAAGATCAAAAATGACAGACAGATATATAACTGCTATCTAACTTTAAACCATCTATTTTCAGATTAAAGTTTGTATTTTGAATAGAGACGGTCAGGACAGTATGGACTTCTTTGGGTGAGTCCCTGAAGTACCTGACTAATGAGACAGTTCCTGAAACTGTACATAAATATATATGGGATTAGTTCAAGAACATGGTATTTATTTTAAGCAACAAATAACATGTACCAATGACAAATATCATATATGATTTTGTGTATATTAGTGGCTATGACAGAATTTCTGTTATACACTTTACATTACCTCAATAATATTCCTATACTTGACATGTTCTTCATATTTTAAAACCTGAAGTGTTAATTTATATTTTTGCTTTGACAATTATTTGACAATAATTATAATATTATATTTTTCTAGAGATATTATCATACAAATTTTAGAATAATGGTGTGTAGCCTTGTGCTATCAAAGGAGATAACAGTGAATTATTGAGCAGATAGCAGATACCACACTTTATTACTTTTTGAATAATTTTGGAACCAGATTTAGAATTTTGTAAGCACACAAACTAATCAAAATTATTATGTACCCCCACTTTTGCAGACAAAATTTAAATATCCTATTATTCATCTCTAAAAGAAATTTAGAAACAATTTTCATAAATATTTGGATGTGATTTCCTTGATGAAAAACACAATTAATGAGCACAATTCTAATCTAAGTATAATTTTTCTGGCATATGGTGTATGTATATGTGTGTATATGTGTATATGTACTGAAAACAAAAACATACAGGGACATGAGGCACAGATTTTTTTTTCTTACAATCAAGTGTTATATGTTGAACAAGTGGCTGAGAATTTATTAATTTTTCACAAATTTCTAAAATCAATTCATTTTTGCAACATTAAATTTAATATCATTTCTCATTTATTGGAATAAAATATATAGGTACATGTATATATACTTTATGAACTTAAACATTTTTCAATTTGAAATCATCAGTTCAGGACAAGGTATAGATTATAAATACTCAGTTTCAGTAATTTTAAATTTCTTAACTTTTTGATTATTGTACTTATTTTGGGTATATAGTAATTTCAACTTTTTTTCATCTAAACTCTTTGTCACACATAAGAAACTATAGAATTGTTTATATTACAAACTATAATCTTGATGTTTTCCAATATATCTCTGTTATTTATTATTTGTCTATCCATGATATTTGCCCAATTATGTTAGTCTTATTTTTATATCATTCTGAGTTAAATAGCAAAAGATTTAGAAGATGACATTTTCAAATACTGTAATATTGTATATGTAATTAATCTTTATTTTTAAAATGATATCATCAGTTTACTTCAAGGGTAGGATTGATGATAGAAGTAAAATATTTTTAATTGTGGCAATTGAAAAGGGTTATCTATCAACTTCCTGATCCAGCAATTCTATAACTTTTGCAAGCATCATTTTAACCTGGAGAGCTTAATAAGACCCATAATTTTTCCAGAGTTGTTGGTTTCAAAGGAGTTGGGTGGGGGCCAGGTATTTGTTTCTGACAAATTCTCAGTGATGCTGCTCTCAACTCCAAATTTTGAAATCCACTGTTCTGACATTCATTTTTATCAATCAAGTGACTGTTCTTTCTAGTCAAATAGTCTAATCATTATCTTAATATTAGTTAATATTCTTTGAGAAATATTAGTAATCAGTATACTATCCCTTTGCAAGGGATGTGTAATATAACCATTGGAGTCTGATGAAATGGATAATACAATTAAATGAATATCATAACAGAAGATCCTAAGATTTAAAACAATTCTCAAACATCAGTGTACACTGAAATCACTTGAAGGATTTATTAAATTTAGTCCTGGGCTTTCACCCTGAAATTAAAGATCAAAGACCTTACATTTCTAACAATTTCCAGAAAAAAATGTTGATTCTGCTATTTCAGAGATCACATTTTGAGTACCTCAGTTTCCCCAATTAAAAGTGTTGAGATCTGGTAGACTTGAAATCCTATCCTTGCCTATCTGATCTGGGCATGTTTTTACCTTACAGAGCGCCTACAATCTAAAGGAAAAATCGAACTACCTACACATCAGTATCTCAGCTGACATCATAATAAATGAAAAAATGGCACAAGGCTATAATTTTAAATTATTAATAGATACAAAAACTTGCACTTTACAGAAATTTTAATTTAAAATCTTAGAGGAGAGCATTGTAATAACTACTTCAATATTACACCCTCCCATGTATTAAGACTCAGTGCATGTGTCTTTAGAGAATATCAATATGCATGGTTTATCAAAAGCCTACATTGAGTATATTTTTAAAATATGAGCTACATTTTCTTTACAAAATCTATCATCTGACTCAGTAGTGTAATTTTTTCCATCTGGGATTTCATAAATAGCAAAGCAAACTAATTTCAAATTCAATAAGTTTGATAATATAAACCAAAATGATACTGAATGATAGGTATTAAAGTTTAAATCCATTGTTCAAATAAGTATTCATTGACAAGTTACCATTTTTATACCTTGATTAAGATTCTTTGATACTTGATTCTTATTGCTCTTTAACAAGAGATGTATATCATTATTGTGGTCCAGGAGCACTGTGTGGTCAGTCTGTGATCTCCTTTTTCAGGCACATTTGAAAGAATATGTGAGGCTCACATGGGCCATTACCAGGCTTCTTTCTGATGTGCCAAGTGTTTTGTCCTCATGGATTCTTTGCACATAGTGGTCTCTTGGCCTAATTGCTGCTTCTTTTTTTTCCCTTTGACATTTTTATCAGGTTACATTTGTGCCATCCTTTCATGTTTTGTTTTGTCCAGTAATATTTTCCCAAGGGATTATTTTTTCCTCATTTCCTTTCTCTTCCAGCATCTGTGTCTCTTTATTCTAGAATCTCTTCATTTTGAAGTTGTACAGATCAGATTTCTTAAATGCTCACTATAATATGTATGATATATATGTCATGGCTTTGATAATATGAAGTCAGAAATTCTGTTTAATATTCTGCCTGCACATTTCAACTTGGAGATATTTAGAAAAATTGAATACATCTATGTAAAATACTTAGTCTACAAATAATGGTGTAAATTTCTTAATTTCAGGTTTTTTTTAATGCTGGTTTTAAATAGCATTACTCATTCAACTGGCTGCTTTTGAGAATAAGTGATTTAAAGACAAATAAAAATGCCTTTTGAATGGGGCCTTTTCTGATTCACAGAATGGATAATATAGTAAAATGTTTAGGGGTCTAGACTCAGATGATTTGAATTATATTTTGGCTGAGAAATAAAAAAAAATAGCATGACTCTAAGTCCATTACATGATTGTTCTAAATTTTACTTCCTTTGTCTTTGAAATGTGAATAATAACTTTTTTCACAAGTGTTACCTATATTAGAATTATGTGTGAAAATTAATACAAAATGTTTAACATGGGATTGATATATAGAAATAAATTTAATCTATGTAATTGTAATTTTCAAATATATTATGCTATCTACATATTTTGCATTTATCTTTTACTATAACCTCAATGTTCTGAAGAAAAAAAGTTAGTTAGTCTCCCCAGTTTCTTAGAGGCTAATAGTCTTAGAAACTAATATAATGTCAAATGAAGGACTTAAAAAAGGAGTATCCACAAATGAAATTGTTCAGTACAAGTTGGATTAACAAAGTAGAAACCCCCTTGTCAGGTCATCTATAAAACAACTGTCTTCTTATGATATATTAGGATGTAGATTGATTTACCTAAAATAATTGGATGAAGTATTTATTAAGCTACCTCTCAACTAATAAAGATGTCAACTCACCAAGCATGTTTTAGATTTTATTAAACATAGTTAAATGTTTTCCTCCAAAAATTATACTTCTTCCCTAGGAAATTTATTTAAAATATTTTTAATAGTTATTCAATTAAAATAAAATATGTTCCATTGTTTGAAGAATGGGATTGCATAACCAACACAAGAATTGCTAATATAACTGCTCTGAGTATTCCACAGGCTCTGAAAGCATTTTTATACTTTGAAAGCAATCAGCCACAAATTTTGAAGGCTTCTATAAACTTTGTGGATTTTTTTATATTATTAATCTTCTGATGCTTCAAGTGATCAGTTTATTATTTGTATTTGAAATACATAAACCTCATTCTCTGCTCATGCCAACTCAAGAAATTGTTTCCCCTGTTATTCATGAGTTGTTTTTATAAACTATCAGACACAAGTTCCATGAAATCTATTACAAGTATCTTATAGTTAGATAACTATAACATAATTCAGTTTGATCTAGGAGTTTCATACCATTTTTAACTTGGAAATCCATTTTAATGGTCAATTAATGGTTTTAAAGTCATCTTGAGATCATTTGCTTTGATTAAGGATATTTTATTGGTCTCATTTTAAGTACTTTTAGATAAGTAGATCACTTGGTTCATTACTCCATAGCTTTGGACCCAAGATGAGGTAGAGTGTCATTGCAGGGGGGCATGATAAAGAAAAGCAGCTCAGGATAGGGCAGCCTGGAAACACACACACACACACACACACACACACACACACACGGGGGGGGGGGCTCAGATCTCCAGGGACAAAATGTAAACCCCCAAATCACATCCAGTGATCTGCTTTCCTTGAGTCATACCCTACCTGCCTACAGTAACCTAGTTAATTCATATCACTGGATTAAGCCATAGAATATGTAACAACTCTTGTAATCAAAGCATTTCACTTCTGAGAATACTTGCATCAACTCACTAATGACTTTAGGGGGACAACCTCATATCTAAACCATAACACAGGACTATAGTTATTCACCAATAAATTCTGTATGCTTTAATTATAATGAAAGTGGTATATAGTTTATCTTGAGGGTAAGCATCAAGATAAATTTGCCTTAGAATATACCAAGGCAATTTTTAAATCTAGAAGACAATAGGAAGTCAAGGAGAATGTTCTAAGAAAAATACAGTATATTTTTATTTCAAAGTAAAAGCTTTGCAGATAGAGAATCTAAAAAAGAAAAAAGAAAGAAAGAAAATATGATTTTTGACTTTTATTCGTTTTAAATTAAATTTATTCACCTTAAATTTTGATTATTGGTTTTTGCTTTGTCAAATGCATGGTGAATTAAAAAATTTAAGGCTAAAGAATATATCATTTAAATTTTGATATTTGCAGGGAATATAGCTCAGTTGGTAGAGTGCTTGCCTTGCATGCATAAGGCTCTTGGTTCAATCCCCAGCACGACCATCATAATAATAATAATAATAATAATAATAATAATAATAATAATAAATTTTGATGTTTAATAAACTATTGATTTCAAATCACAAACCAAACTCAACTTCATAATCCTATTAAAAAGCTACTTTTGCTTCTATTATATCCTACATAAAAGATCTACAATTTCAAGTAGTTTTTGTAGTGTCACTGAAATGTAAAAGAATTTTCCACAGTTTCCCATGCAGACTATCCTAGATACAACCACTGTAAAGATTTTTCTTCTAGCTTCTGATATTGTTCTGCATATATTTCCATAATGTACATATATATATATATATATATATATATATATTTATATATTTATTTATTTATATATGACAGCAGAATGCATTATAATTCTTATTACACATATATAGCACAAATTTTCATATCTCCGGTTGTATACAAAGTATATTCACACCAATTCGTGTCTTTTTACATGTACTTTGGATAGTAATGATCATCACATTCCACCATCATTAATTACCCCACTCCCCGTCCCTTCCCCTCCAACCCCTCTGCCCTAACTAGAGTTCATCTATTCTTCCCAAGCTCCCTCTCCCTATACCACTAGGAATCAGCCTCCTTATATCAAAGAAAACATTCGACATTTGTTTATTTGGGATTGGTTAACTTCAAATTAGCATTATCTTCTCTAACTCCATCCATTTACCTGTAAATATTCACAAATGTGATAATATATTACACACATTATATTTAATATGCATTGCTTTCTCTGTAATGGAAGCAAGTAATCTACAATTATTAATTTTCATTTCTTATACAGATTTTTTATTTGTTTCCACAGAGTTAATCATTGCTGTTTTCATTTACTTCATTTTCTGTTATTTTCATAAATCAGTAGCTAATTAAACAATTCTTCCATAAATAAAAGTTTGTTTTTAAGATATGCAAACCTATCATGCTTTTAGAATTAATTTTCATTTTCTAAGAGAGCAATCTCACAGCTCTCTAAAACTTTCCAAAATGGATTTTCAAATATTATTTTTTTTCTGACATGTTATCTCTGTTAATAGCTTCTAAAGAAAATGAGAATAGAAGGGAATTTTTTGATACTTTGCATATCTGCTAATCATTATTTAGCACTTTTTAGTGTTTGGAAATTTTATTCTGAAATGGAAAGATTAACTTTAGAAATAATAATGCCTTTTTCAAGTTTTCAACCATTTCTGTTATCGCTGAAAACTAATGCAGTTTTTTCTCAATCTTTGGTGTGAACTTCTTATACCTCTGTGTGCCTGTGGGAACTTCTCTGACCTCAGAAAATTCAGATTTCACTCCTATACTGCAATGATATGGCTTTTCCTCATTCATTGTTTTCATTCTGGAGTGTGGTCTCTAAAACTGAAAACTATGCTCAGGGAAACAATCTTGAAGAAGTTCTGCTAAAGTCCTCTCTGATTTCTAACAAGAACTGGTGTCATTTGAATCCTGATGCTCTTCTTTTAAAAACTCTACTCTTTTTTTTTCTCTTTTGCTCCCTTACTCTCTTAAATATGTCCTATGTTGCATCTTTTCAGGAATTTAATTAATAATAAAATATATATTTTGCTCTAGAGTTTAAAAGAACAAAAATATGTAGGTATTTCAATGTGAAAGTTAATTAACATGAAAACTCTTGGAAAGACTTGAAGAAAGTGAGAACCACCAAACTAACTGTGATTTTGTTAACCCAATAGAGATTCAGAGCCAGAGGTCATCTGCTACCACGCATAAGGAGGGCACTGGCTGCAGCCTCCACATGCATAGATGCAAGAGGAACAAAGTCATTGCAGGATTTTCACCTAAACCTCAACATTAAGTTGGATATTGGTTAATGCAGAGCAGGAACTTAGGAAGAATGCCAATGCATAAATCTAGAAAAACAAAATGTTCGTCATAGGTCACAACTACTCCTAAGTTTGATTCATTCTCTCTAACAGATCATGTTTTCCAGAATATCATCTTCCAATGCCTTCTTTAATTGTATGTATCTCCTGGGGACCACAAATATGAGTGACAGGATAATAGGAGGACATACCACAGCTATGTGGGTAAGCTAATCTTCAAGTGAGATGTTCCTACAATCTAGAATTCTTCTATTGTTTTCATCTTTCAAGGTATTAAATATCCATAATTTTGTTAGGAGAAAAAAACACCCTCTTTTTATAAGGTAGTTAAGCCCAACTCCTATATAATTGAAAAAAAAAAAAAAGAAAGAAAAAACAAAATAGAAAATAGAAGCCAATACAGGATTAGGAAAGAAAAGCAGGTTTTCTCTCAGAACTACTCTTAAATGAGTCAAATTTAAAATAATAATAATAATAATAATAATAATAAAAATAATACAAACAACATTGAATATATGAACTTAATACTAGAATTGAAAATCTTTTGTCTATTGTTATTGATTCTTAATATGTGATAATTCTCCTTCAGTTTTAACTAATTATCTTATATGAATAGCGTATGCCTAGTAATTTTTAAATGAAAAGTTTTGTACCACTGACACATTTTCTAATCTACTCCCAAAACTATTTTGCTTCTAAGTTTCAAATCAGATTCATGGTTCTTTAATTTATATATCTGGAAAGTAGAACAAATTCTCTCATTGAAAAATACATATCTAATATATGTATTTATATATAAATAAATTATTTAAATATAAATACATTATCATTCTGAAAAAAGCAATCTATAATTTGTCTGAATCTAAAACAATTCTCCCATTTTAAAAATAATTACTAGGTAAATCTAAGTGCAGATATTTGTGGTGATAATTTTCTAATTCAAGTGAGTATATAATGTGTGCCTAGGGATAATGTGAACAATTCAGAATTTATTTTAAATTACCAAATATGTTGTAAATTCTTATCAAAATTATATTATTTTAAAAATTAAGCTCATCTTCAAAAATTAAATTATTAATTAGAAAGTTGTTTATCTTAAATTTCAACATGCCAGTCAAATGCATTGAATGAAAATATATTTAATAAAAAATACCATTGATAAACTTATTTTATTTATGATAGTCTACTCTTGAGGCTTACTCAAAATTGTTTATAATTTTTCACTGAAAAGATAGTTATACTTTATAGAAAATATGGTAATAATGATAAGAACACTAGACAGAAGGATATTAATTACAAAACATAAAGTGACTTTATTATTTTATTGTATGTAGTATTTACTTAGACTACCATTAGCCTGATATTTCAATTTAATTAGTTTTTTAATTCTCAAAATTTCTTTGTAAAATTAATAAATGTGGTTTGATGATATGTCATAATGTCCGCATTTTTAAAAAATAAAAATACTTTATTTATCAGAACAAAAACTGGTTTAGGTAAATGAATGCTAAGTGGCTTATTGAATTAAAAAGTCTAGTGAAATTTAGTAATAATTAACATTAAAAACTTCATTCTGTATAAATTGCATAGCACAGTACAAGAGGAAACAGTTTTACATAATAAAGTTATGTGAACAGTGTAATTAATAATTACTATTTTTAAACAAGTGGGAAAAAGAAAAAAAAATACCTTTAACCATTTAAAATAACTTTGCTTTTATTGTTGTTATTGTTGTTTCTCCTGCTTTTGAAATCATTATTAGCAGAAGATGCTTACCAGGCTAGAATTATTCCAACCAAGTGTTCTGTAATGAAACAAGAAAATTTCTTTAATTAGGTTTCTTAAGAAATTTTCTGAAAAAAAAAGAAATTTACTTAATTAGGTTTCTTATTACTCAGTTTTCTTAATTTCCTTGGATGAAAAGAAAATCGGGAGAATCTCAAATTAATTATTCTTTAATATGAATAGATGGTACTCTAGTACTTATTCAATGGCTTTCACTCATGAAACTTATTACATATTACAAATACTGTTTCATTAATTATCACTCAATGAGGACAAACAGCATGACAAGTTTTAAATAATTTCGAAAAACTTAAAATATTAATATCATATTCTACTTACAGAAAATAAGGCATAATCCTCACTGAGTGATCATGTTCACTATTCTAGAAAATGAAAACATCAATCTATGTCATTAAGGAAAACTGACTTAACACTACTGTAAAGTACAAATATAATTGGTACAATGAATTCTAAAAAGTGGGGCTCTCACCTATGAGAACAAAGGCAAGAAATGTAACAAAATTCCCAGAAACTCGGCCCTTCCAAATATAAGATAAGCTGAAACTTCTGTTTTTATCCATATTACCAATGAAAATGGTGGGTCTGATACTGAGTTGAAGCTTCTTATATTTTAAAAACTATTTCAGATGAAAAAGAACTGTCTGTAAGTTCCTTCAGTTTGTTGACACTTCTGTAATTTTAGTATTTAAAAATTTATGATTTTTTAGCCTCAGTTTAAATATTAAAATCAGTATCACTTGTCTCAACCTGCGCAATAACCTATTCAGGGGTAACCAAATCCATCAATGAGGGGATGGAAAAAGACAACAGACATATGAATGGAGAAAAAGCTGGGGCTTGGTGGTTCAGCCAATCTCTGATGGCGGAAGCCTGACTGTGAGAAGTTTGGCATCTTTTTATATAAGTTTAAACATCACAAGGATTTATTGTGGGAAAGTTTCTTCAAAGCAAGTACAATCAAGGTCATGAGTATTAACAGCCCAATTATGATTATCAGCTTTCACCCATAACTTTCTACTCCCTGAGCAAGGAAAAGAAATGAATAGCTCCATGACTGGCACAGAACTACCTATTGAACAGGGTGTCACCGTAACAACTGGCTATCTTCATTACTGATTTTGCACCAAGTGTTCTCCAGAGGGGCATAGCCTCTGTCACAGGACAGTTCGGGACGCATAATTCAGTTGCTGCTCCCAACAATCACTTGAACGGTATATAACTTAGATTTTAACTAAAACACTTAAAATTTTCAATGTCAAGTCCTATTGGATATATGACTCATGCAATGAGTAGATAAATAATAGATTGTGGAGTACTGATGGTTGGATAGAGTTATCTAAGGATGCTTGTCAGTCTTTTTATAGACAATAATTTTTAGTCATTAATTAATTATTTGTAACTTTTAAAAATTACATTAATTTAAAGTTAGTCTGTGAATTACCTGATAGAATTTCTATGACAAGTCAGAGTCCCTAAAATGTGAGCTGATAGCAAGTTTTCCTGAGAACCCAAGACATATTTATCAGCCAATTACCTTTAATTTCTCAAACTGTTGTGTGCACTCAAAATCACAACAAGTAATCTTAAAAGCATCAAATATTATAAATATATTGATCAAAACAATCTCATTTTATGTTTATTTATTTACTGTTGAGCCAGCATGTACTCTGCAGTGAGCTACAACCCAAGACCTGTCATCTAAGGAATTTGTAAATAAAATTCTCAATGACAAAAAATTCCATTAGATATACTTCTTGAGTACTTTATGAATTTTAAAAGTTTATCTTAAAGTATAATATGTCTTTAAATATGAATTCTTACTTTCAAAGAATGTTTGTAATAGTGATTTAATTTAACACTCAGAGAGCCTGCTGGGTTCAAAAAGGCAGACATTACTGTCCACGGTTTTCAACAGTGCAAATTGATGCTTGGACAGTTTAAGCGAATATTTTAAGGTTGTAAAAACAATATGAATCCATTACACCACCACTGTGGTTCAATATATAGAAAAATAAAAATCAAAATGTGAAATTTTCAGTACTTATCCAACTGTTCTTTGCCATAAAGCTATATGGTGCCCACATGAACTTTTTCTGTCTTCCAGGTTACCATCTAGACAAGAAGCAGAAAGGATCGGAAAGAACTCAAAAGATGCATATTTAACAGACCAATTGCCTTTTTATTTTGAGTCTTTGTAGTTGAATTCCGAGAAACTTTATTATTTTTTTTCTGAGAAAGAAAAGTTCTGAAAAATCTTGCAATGTTTGATGAACACAAAAGGATTGAGTTAAGAAGACAGTGCTTACCTTTAAATTAGTGAAGGAATATAGGTAATACATTAATGAAGGAGTATACCAGTCTTCTTCAAGACTTCTTGGGCATATTGTAATCCATAAATTAATATTCATTGATTAAACATTATAGGGTATGCCTGTGACAAATTTAGGGCATTATTTATTAATTTAGTTGAACAATTATTATGTGTCTACTATGTGCACTGTTGCCTTAACTGAACAAGTAATAATCCTAAATTCAAGGGGTTTAAGATAGAATCACAGTCTCTCCAGTAATATTAGAGAGTGTCTAATGCAAAATATTCACAGAAAACAATTTTAAAAGGAAATAGGAGAACAACAATTTTAAGTGACTTTCTCCAAGTTTAAGGAATAGTTTCAAAGAATATCTGGACATCCTGATTATATTTTGGAACAGAAGTTAATTGTTTTTATGTGAACAGATATTTTACTATTATTTTGAAAATGTTGCTAAAAGGAGTATTAAATAAGCAAAGAAAAGACCATTAGCTTGAATATATTGCTGTATTTTTGAGTTCATAGATAACAAGCCATAATCTTATTTACTACATCAACCAACATACACCTAATTAGGAGTGTTTTTTTTTTTTTTTTGAATAGCCATGTTTCAGCCAATCATTGATAAGTTCCAGTTAGTCATAGGCTACCAACCAGCTAGAACATGTCCAATTAATGGGAATATCAAGCTGTTTTCCAATCAGATAACTTTTCCATTTTGCTTCCATGTTCAGTCTGTATACGCTTGCTGCTTACACCACTGATGGAACTCTGAACCTCCTTGAATTCTGAGAAGTGTCCAGTTCATAAATCACTCTTTACTCAAATAAACTATTAAATTTAATTTGTCTGAATTTTTTCTTTTAACAAGGATTAGAGAATTCTGGAAGGACACATATCCACACAACTCTTAATTTAAGAAATATCATGTGAATGTTTAATAATTAAATTTTCAAACAATGATGGATATAAGTTTATTGCATTAATTTTGTCATTAAAAGTAGTTTGAAAATAAAAATTAGTGTGTATATATATATGTTAATCTCTCTCTCTAACTCTCTCTCTTTCTCTCTCTCTCTCTCTCTCTCTCTCTCTCTATATATATATATATATATATATATATATATATATATATAGTTTAAGGAATAGTTTATGTGAATTGTAGTATGGGAATTATATTTTTCTACACAAATGAATAAAAATTATACCCTAAAGTAGTCAAGTCCTCCACTTTCTTGGCTCTACATTATATTCTATTTGTAAAGATTAGTTGGTTTAATTTTAAACATATTTAAGAAGCAATATGGAATAAGAGTCTCAGTGCTAGAAAATGTTTAATCAATAGTGATTTAATCTTACCATTTTTTTTCTTTCTTAACTGATTTAGAAAAGCATTTAACGAAAAGAAACAGCATTACTGTGTGAAGTTTCATTCAAAATTGTTATGGATTTTATGTTTTCAAATCAAATTATGAGCTAATTTTAAATTTCCACTGTAGTTCACATATGTAATAAAGAACCAAAAAAAGAGTTCACCATTAAATTGTCTGTCTATATTTAATATTTTCTGGAATAGCATTGTCCTATATATCTTGGGATGAGGGAAATATTTTATGTTTTCCCTGTACAATATGTATCCAGTAGTAAGTCTAGAACTGTTCCTACAGGCAAGCATATCAGACAGTGCAATTCTGGAACATGAATTTTAATTGCATAACATCACAGTTAAATTTGACAATAAATTATATTTTTTATTATATCCAAAATTTTAACACAGAAAGATATTATGATACTATATTTTTGCAACACATTATGTTATCACTCTTTAAATTTGAAAAGGTAAATATGTAATTGTAAAGTCTAACACTTTCTTCTCTTCATTTATAGAAACTTGTATTGCTTTCTTTATCCTCCTTAAAATTGTACTGAGCCATGATGCTTGCTCTGTATGAAAAACAGTTGAGGTTTCAAATATGTTTTTAAATAAGCCATATTAAAACAAAACCAATGACTAGTAAAAGCACATCTTTATGTATTGAATTGTATAAATATAAGTATAAAATGTAACAAATTAACTTTGCATTTCTAATGCACATAAGGTTATTTTTGTCAAATTGTGCTAGCCAATAATTTAGAGTGTTATAAAAGTGTGTTATTCTCATTTATATGTGCCTAACTATCCTGATGTAAATATTAATGCTAGAGAAATAGACTTAACTATGCCTGATCTGCTCTTAGTAGACATTCATCTAGGAAAATGGGATTTCATCCATTGCATATTGGTTTTAAAATATGTATTTTGATGGAGTATTTTAGAGAAGAGTTAGTTCCTATATTCATAAATTGCAGCTTACATGTGCTGCTGACTTCCTATCATAAACATTTATTTGAGCAGACTGAATTACTGAGACCAGCTGCTTAGAGTGATCAATTTCACTCCTCTTTCCACTTCTCTTTGCTTGTATTGGCACAACTTTAAAATTTCATAATTTCCTTTTCACAGTAGAATAACAACATTGCTCTTTCTCTTAATGTCTTTCTCTTGATGGTAGTAATATATTAGGGAACACTGAGATTGGTTCATCTGTTCTTATCTTTTATATATCCATTGCCTGCTCACCCATGATAACATAAATATAATTATCACACACCTTAGTTAGTAATAGAAACAGATTAGTTTTTATACCAACAATCTTTTCATCTTTACAATGGCTTTTGCAAAGCCATAATTGACTCTTTTTATGACCATATTTAATGTGTTTTGGTTCCATTTTCCATATTATCTTTCTTCTAGCTTTGCAACATGATATATTCCAAGACTGAACTAGAATCCTATTTAATTTTCAAACAACACTACCACAATCCAGAAACCTTTGATTTGGAGAATGCATTAGAAAAACTCACTGTAGGTTAAGACAGTTTTCCATTGAGGCAATAGAGGAAATGCAAAGACAGAAATGACAGTCTGTATTTCCATGAAAAGACTCTTAAAAAGTGGGGTTTAATAAGTTATTAAAATATGGTTAAGTCAAGGAACTGAATAGTGTTAGTTCCTTAATTGTCTAGCCATTTCTCAAGCCTGGCTTTTGGTTTGAGAAATCTACTAATTTGTGAATGTGACTTAAGAAATATTCAGGATTGCCTTTAATTTGAAAAGTAAAAACTAGCCAAATATAGTTTTTATATAAAGACTTAGTGATACTGCATTCAAGCTAAACTGTTTAATTAATTATCAAATCTTTTTCATTTGGCTAATCAAGAGGTATAAACACATTTTATTTAACATAACAAGTAGTTTGGAAAAGAATAACAGGCATCCAACAAGCATCCTAATTAAAATAATACCTTGGGAAAAGAGAAAAAATAAGATAAAACATAAATCAAAAAACTACAGTGTATTAAATCAAAATATGTAATATTTGGTTTTTTTAAAGAAAGAAAAAAAATACAAACATGTCAAAGATACCTCTACTCCTTCTATTTAATGCACAACTATCAAAGCATTCTAAAGCAATGACTCTCCTTTTTCTTTCTACAATAGCTTCCAACATGGTTTGGACAATTTCCATTTAAGCTCTAATTCCAATTCCATACCAGAGTCAAATGATCCTTTTAAAATAAAATGCATTCATATCTGTTATTTATTTTTTTTCAGAATTCTCCAGTGGAGAATTTATAGCTCTTTTCAGGACATACACACTTGTAAATAATCTTGCATTGGCTCCTGTTCTAATCTTAATTGCTGTTGTTCCCTGCTCTTTAATCACTATACCCCAGGAGCATTGAAATTCTATGACCATTTTTCCATAATAATTCATATAGCTCTTGTCTGTGTGTCTTTTTTCTTCATTACGGGCTCTGCTATAGGTCTTCTAATTGAAAGGGCTTTCTTGATAATCTTTTACATCATATTATTTTCAATAAATCTCTTCTCTTATGCAGCCTTGCACTGTATTATTTTTAATAGTACTTCTTTCCATCTAACATACTTGTTAATTTTTTCCCATCTTGTTAGAATGAACCTCAATGAATTCAGTATCCTTGTTTCTTTTAAATTTCTTTCTAATCTTTACCTAGAGTTTAGAAAAGTGATAAAGATATAATAGATATGGTATTTGTTGAATAAATTTTATATAAGTATATGTATATAATCTACAAATAACATAAATATGAGTATAAGAAGTTTAGAAACGTTTGTATAATGATTTGCCTCCAAGACAGAAAATAATTGCTGTACAAATTCAATGCAATATGTGTAAGGACAAAGACTCCTTCTTTAGCTTTTCTTTATTTTTGTACAGTAAAGACATGCATCTCCAACTGTATGGCAAAACTAAAGAAGTTTAGAAAGTCCATATTTATCCTTATCATCACAACTACATTAAAGGAACACGTGCAGGAGACCATATCACATAGTTCCACAGTCTGGGAAGAGAATACAGGGCTACAAGGTCAAGAGCACTTTGGACAAGAATAATTTTAGATGACAGCTGGATAGATAAATTCTGTGGCAATGGTTCAGGCAAGAGACACAATGGTAACTTAGACTAAAGGTTACTAGATGGATAAGTTGAAATATTAGAGATATGGAACAAGTGAAATTAACATGACCTGATGGTGAAGGAGACCAGTGAATGTAGGGTGGCAGTGACCAGATAGTATAGCATCAACAAGAAAGGTCAGAATAGGGGTTACATGGGAGGGAAGAAATAATGCAGAAGTTAAGTATTTTAATAAATGAACATATTAAGAAGAAGAGAGACAGTATGTGTGAAAAGGCCCATATGTTCTGAAATGTGGTTTAAAAATAAGTAGGAAGATGGTATATGAGACAGAGGTTGGATGCACTTGAGATGCAAGGAAACAGTGTCTAGAAATATACATTAACTAAGCAAGAAGGGCCACAGTTATACTTAAGAAGGTAATGAAGGTGCAGTTTTCTGTATTTTTCAGAAACAAAATGGTATGACACTAAATCATATAATATATGTCAATATTTTCATATCTCTATAATCAATATACTCATCTAGAAATAGTTTTTATTTCCTTCAAATTGTGATAAATAAAATAATCACTAATTTTAATATCTTTAGAGTAATATATGCCCTTGGAATAAAGACATTTTTATTTATGATATGTAGGAGAAAAGAGCCTTCAGAGAGAGGGTATGTCATATTATTGAATATAAAAATAAAAATTCAAAGGTATCAATAGATTTTACAATTCAAAGAGGGAAAACTACTGAAGCTAGAATAAGGAATAACACAACAATTTGGGTTCATGGTACTGGGATATCTTGAGTTTAACTTTGGGACATACTGCATTGTAAACAAAGTCTTATGGGTCATTTTAAAGTGAGTGGATTCTAGTTATAATTGTCTGCATGGTTGGTGTTGGAAAATAACTGGTCCTAAAATTTTAGATTCCATACATAATGCTAAAGCAAGTTCTGACATTATATAAATAATATTTTGACAAGGAAGACTCATCTAATAAATCTGATTCCTGAAAATTAGTCATAGTTGGTGAAAACAAAGTAAGAGCTAATGGTTTTATTAATATATATATATATATATATATATATATATATATATATATATATATATATATATATACTGCAACTATCATTCAACTGCTTTGTGATTTCTGGAGCCATTACTCTTTTGCGTAAAGAACAATCTGGGAAGATATTTGCCTATTCATAAAATAATAATTGAGCACAGTGGTACCACACTTAGAATCTCAGCTAGAAGGAAGGTTGATGCTGGAGAATCCCAAGTTCAAAATGAGCCTCAGAAACACAGAAAGACTCTGATTCAAAAAATTAAATTAAATTTAAAAATA